CTTCTTAAGACAAGATTATTTCATCATAAAGGGTCCTCCGAAGTCTATGCTGACAGTTTGGAACGGTCGAGAAGGGGATACACGAGTCTTGGGAAGGTCAGCCATAAGTTCTTGGGCAGTTATAGCTTTGAATCTATGACATATGATACATTTATTTATTATTCTTTTGATTTCGCGGAGTCCGTCAATGGGCCAAAACTGAAGGCGAACATTGGCTAGCACATTTTTAGGATCAATATGTCCTAACCTTCGGTGTTCCTTTTGCAACACCAAGGAAGTAAAATGGCTATTAGAAGGAAGAAGAATGGGGTATTTTTGATCAAAGTGTAGATCTGAATAGGATAATCTGCCTCCTACTCGTAAAATATCATTTTTTATCTAAAAAGGGGTCGAGTGAAGCAATCTGTTTGTTGATAATAATTTGATGCTTTTTTAGATACATTATTTTGTTTGTAAATTTGTTTTACAGCAAATGTAGTAAAAACAAAGGACCATGAATCCAAAAATCCAAGTGATTTAATGGAAGTAATGGTAGAAACTCTATTTAAAACAAACAGTCCATTTGGAGGGAGGCCCTTTAATCCATGACAAAGCTACCTGAAAATCTGACCATAATACCGTTTCAGATATAACAAGATGATCTTTAAATATACTTTCTAATCTAAATATTAATTGTGATAAAAGTACCATAATTCCAGTTTTGGAATGGTTATAACTTTTTTGGTAGGAGCGACTCTAGATTTAGATGTAATAAGAAATGAACAAGCAGTGTGATCGTTATAAAGAGCTCTTAAGTATACGCAGCATCCCTATGCCAAGTAACTAGCGTCCGAAAAAACATGAAGTTGCAATTTTCAAATATTCTTTTTGTAAACTAAACACCTGGGAATATGAAACGAAGATAGTTTTGAAATGTTTTTAATATAAACAGTCTATTCGTTTATTACATAACGGTCTGAAATAGGTAAGTCCCAAGGATGTTTTGCAAGCCAAAGTTTTTGCATTAACACCTTACCCTGTACTATGACGGGATTAACCAATCCTAACGGATCGTAATACTGGGCAATTATAGATAGCAGTTTTCTTTTGGTAAGAGGTTCTACGAAAAGGAAGTTTGGAGTGGAAATTTGTAAAGAGTCTAAAAGCGAATTTCCCTTTAAACCTAATAATTTGTGGAAATTTTTATCGAGATTTAAGTCTTTTTCATCCGACTGAGTTGACAGAAAAGACGCTTGAAAATTAGGAAGATTGGAACGAAACTTACGCAAATGAAATCCTGCTTTGTAAGGGTGATTTGTAACTGATATAGTTCCTCTTTCGAACTTGCTCATGTGAGAATATCATCCACCTATGTGTGGGCCAATAAAGCTTTTTGAGCTGAAGCATGCTGAGGGTTCCTAAGAGCAATCTCTTTCAACACTCTGCATGCAAGATAGGGTGCACTTTTTTACCAAACGAAACTGTAGATAGCTCAAGACAGGAAAAATCATCTGAGGGAGAGTCTCTCCAAAGGACGTTTTGTAAAAAGTGGGTTAATATTAACTTGCCTATACATCTTTTTCTGTCTGCAGTAAATACTAGCCTAAAGGTTCTGAATCGGTTAAGAATATCAAACAGTTCTGGTTGAACTCGAGGACCGTTTAATGAAATATAATTAAGGGAAAGCGAACTAGAGGATTTGCAAGAGAAATCAAATACAATTCTAATTTTTGTAATAAGACGTTGTTCCCGAACCACACAGAAATGAGGCACAAAATATTTGTTCTCTTGAAGAGAGCTAGTGAGTGATAGTGGTACAAGTTTTCCATGCCCTAATTCGATATATTCATTTAGAATCTTTTTATATTCGTCTTTGAGAGAAGCATTCTTTTCAAATTTTCCTTCTAGAGAGAGAAAACGGTTTTTTGCTGCAACAAACGAATCTCCCAATTTCTTATAAGCTTGAGATTGTACCTGAAACCTTGCAGTAGGAAGTATTAAGGTAGTGTCGTAAAAAACACTTTCAGCAAGTTTATCTTGTTCTTTGTTGCAAGAGGGAAAAGAAATATTTTCCTGTTCTAAAAATCTTTCCAAGAGTGTGTCGAGATTTCCTTCTTTAGAGAAATTGGCAATACGGAATGAATGAACAGTGGAAGATTTCGAAATTAGATATTCTCGAGGGGTTGCCCCAGATATTATCCACCCTAGTTGAGTTTGAATTAGTGTAGGACACCTTTTGCCTAAAGAATAAAGATCAGGTTGAAGCAAGTCATAGTATACATCAGCTCCTTGAAGTATATTAATCTCTAAGGGTAGATTAAATGTTTTTTCTGCAAGATAGCCTTTAAAATGAGGCGGTATATTTAAAATTTAATGATTGGGTTGAATTGAGGAATTGAGTACTCAAGTGTGTATATATAAATGTTTAATACAATTTGGCTAGCGCTTTCGACAAAACATTGTCATCTTCAGGCCGTCCTACAAAGTTTAAAATTAATACGAGAAGTAAGGGTGAAAGAATTACGTTACGTCAATAGATATCTATCCAGAGTTAAAATTGAATAAAAATACATGGGTTAAAACATTGAATACATTTTTGAAAAAGGGGTTTTGAAAATTAGCACAACACACCCTTTTATTTCGTATTTTACAAATAAATTATCAGTTAAAAAGTTTTAAATTTTAACGGTACATCGTACCTAATAGACAGTAGACAAATGGCACATAGACAGACTGACACATGACATAGGCGTAAGGAGGGTGTGTTCGACATTGGTTCTGGAGTTAACCGATCCATGTGATCTATACTTATTCAAAAAAAGATAAAATGGTTGAAAAGTTGGAAAGGGTATAATAAGTTTCTGCAAGACATGATCCACACAGCGGTCCAGAGAGCCTTATTATAATGGTTTGGGGGAACTATTGTAGATTCGAATTTTTAGATAGAGGAAGGGCAATGACTCTAGATCCATACTAGGCCAGAGAACTTGAAGGTTGATAGACGTTACTAGACCATGATCCATACATAGCTATTAGTCGAAGAGTGAAGGGTAAATTAGAAAAAAGATAAGAATAGAGGGAGAATTTTGCCGAAAAATGAAAGGGGTATAGAAAAGACAAATTACTACCTAGATCCATATTAGGCAGTAACAAAGATAGTATAAAGACACTTTTTTCGCCTTTTACGACACAGCTGTGTGCTGGGTTACCTATTCTATAACCGAGTAACCACGGTGAATAGGAATAAGTGTAGTCCAGGTTAGGGTCAGACTCCAAAACCAATAGCGGGTCCTCCTGATTAGTTACCTAGTGAATTTAACAATTATGAAATTTAAAATTTGAAAAGTGAATTAATTACAATTTAAAGATGTTAATAAGTTAGGGGTTTATGATTATTAATGGATTTAATATTTTAATTAAAATGGTGGGATTCCCAGAGGGCTTTAAATAATGGATTATAATTACAATTTAGGTGAATTTGAGTGTTTAAATCGGGATTCAAGTTCATTTCACGAAGGATCTCCAAATCCTCCAGAATGTCCATCTTCCTAAAGTTGTTGACTGGGACACTATGTAAAATTTTGCTGTTTGATGTAGGAGAGAAACTATGATTATTAAATTTAATGTGATGTCCAAAATTAAATTTTTCAGGTCTCGATAAGTGTTCCTTGATGCGTGTCTCTAGAGGCCTGATGGTTCTACCTATATAAGTAGCTTCGCAGCTATTGCAATGTAATTTGTAAATGCCACTTCTCGACAACTTGTCAATCTTGTCTTTGGTTTTTGATAATAGAGTTTTAATAGTGTTGTGAGTTTTAAAGGAAATTTTAAGATTTTGAAGATTATTTTGTAAAATTTTTGCAATATCAGAGGAAACGTTCCCGAAATAAGGTAAAGATCTGTAAATTGAGGTGACACTTGTTTGTGTGACGGGGAATGCTAAGTTCCTTCTGTTTTTAAGGAGAACTCTGTTGATCATATTATCTACTAGCTCAGGTCCAAAACCGTTGTTAACTGCTAGTTGTTTAAGTAAGTTGGTTTCAATTTTGAAATTAGTTATCGAGAGGGGTATGTTAATTAATCTATGTACATAACAAGAAAGGGCTGACATTTTATGTTGAAAGGGGTGGTTAGAATTAAAGGGTATTAAGTGATCTGTTTGGGTAGGTTTCCTATAAATGGAAAATTCGGAGGATTCGAATTTCAGTAAATAATGAAATAATTTGAAACTATGGAGGGCACTCGCAATGTTTAAAAACGGGAATTTCTAGGAAATAAAAATACGGGGGTTCTTGAGAACGGCTAATAGGTGCAAATTAATTTGAAATAAACATTTTTAAAATTACACTTAAGGAAATTAACTTAAATTTAACATTTTTATAATTAAATTAAAGGAAAATTAAGTGACTTGTCACAAAGGCTACCATTCTAAAATTGTGAGTCAGAAACTTTTTAAATTTACAATGTTTGTGGAGAAATATTATAATAATAACATTTCTTTGAAGACCACATGTCAATATTTAAACTAGTTGTAAAATAACGAAGTGTCAAATTTTAAATTGTGGCTGACGGACTTTGTTACTTCCGCAAAAGGCTATCATTCGAAAATTCTCAGTCATAGGGGTCTATTCTGTAACAATTCTTTTATATTTTAACGACCGTTAAAATATTGGCGGCCTTTAAAAATATTTTCGTATTCGTTAATTTACTTATGTCATTATTTAAACAGATTTCTTTAAGATAGTCCTCTAATGTTTTTTAAAGATCCGTTTAAAAATGACAGAAGTAAAGAAGACAATATTTTTAAAGGCCGTTAAAATATAAAGGAATTGTTACAGAATAGACCCCAGAAACTTTTTAAATTTAGAATGTTTTGCTTAAATGTTATTAAAAAAACTCCATGAAAATCACATGCCAATATCTCAACTGGTTCTCAAATGAGGAGGTATCAAAGTTATAATTTTAATATTTACTGGTATATTGTTGTATTTATAGGAAGAAAAAGAAAGTTTAATTCTTACCTTTAACCTTAAGACTTTCCGCCGTCTTCAATAAAGCGGACAATTGACAGTACTCAACGTTGACTTCCCCCTTGTACATAAACTCGATAAGCGTCCTGAGCTCGGAGAAACGCACGTCCTTAAGGATAACGATGGGATGCCTACTGGGATGGTCGACGAACAGCGTCTGGAAGTACGAAGAGCAAGCGGACAGCACTACCTTGAAAAAACAACAAACACAATTTACAGTTACCCTCTGTCCCTAACAAACCGAATATAATATAGTTTAAAGATGTACTAGTGACGACTTAAACTCGGAAAACACCAGGCGCCAGTTGTGTTAATGTGGTTTGCTTTACAACCCTTTAATACGGTTTTAATAGGACGCTGGTAACATCAGATGAAGATATGGTTTGTTCCAGGAGTAAAAGTGTTCTATTTTGTATATATTTAAATAACAACCAGAATTTACAATTCTATGGGTTATTTTGATGTCCTGAAGACTAATTTTAAAGTCCCACAAATGTTCTGAGGAGATCTTTCAGTGAAAAGACCTCTTCCGTCTTATTTTAAGTCTATGGACCAGTTTCTTTTCAGTCTTCTATTGTTTTTTTCTCATAATAATGGTTGGAGTAGTATTAGTATGTGACTCCTATCTTTGGTGTGGCTTTCAGCTTCTTTACAAAATTGTCACTTAAACTGTAAGATACATATCAGGGAACGTCTACTATTGCTCAGAAAATCTTTGACTGCGCCTTTTGTAAAATAGCTGTGCTGGCACATCCCCACAATTCTCAGACATGTATCTAGATTAAAATAATTACAGCTTAATATATTAATGTTATTTTCTATTAGCATTTTTGATTTTGTACCTTGTAAACTTCAGATGACGACAATACAGAAATAAAATAGCGATTTTATACACTTGTGATTCGATGTAGACTTAATAATAATAGTACTCTCCCCAATTCACCTCTATACAAGTGAATTTTAACCCCGAAAGCTAAGATTGTCCGGGGTAGGGACGGATATTAATTTCCGTGGCGCTCTAGAGCAACCTAAAGAAGATTGATGATGCCATTTTACTTACAGATGATGAAAACCCCACCCACCATCATCACTTAGATCGAATACTTTGCATTTGGAAAATTAAATATTTTAATTTGATTTGATGCAGAACTGGATCAAGTAAAACTAAATACTTAGTGTATTGAAAAAAGAAACAGGTTTTTTTGAGTGTACCTTGTGAGCTCTGATAGAGTGGCCCTCCGAGCAGGCCAAAGTGACGTCGACTAGGCTCTCGTCTCTTAACAACTGACTGAAGACGCCGAGGAGGTTGCTTTGATGATTGTTCCACCTCAGGCAGTAGTGCTCACTTCCCATCTCTCCTGACAACGGCCACACTGAAACAAAATAACAATCATTATATTCAATGAAACTGTTTTCTTTGTCTGAATAAAATTTAAATCTGATGAAATTTACGAGGGAGATAAATGAGAATAATAATAAAAAACAGAGTTGTAATTATTATGATGGTGGTCGAATAAATATACAGTGTCACCGTTATATACGATTTTTTTTATTATTATTTAGTTTACCTAAATTTAAAAATGACATTGACGAATTATTTCTGTCGATCGGATACACCTGTCAAATTACACACATTTTTCAAAAATACAATAAATTTATTTCTTTTTCTGTTTTCTACATATCTTTTTCTACAGAACTTCTTTTCGCATTTTCTTAACCTTACAATTTTTTGGCTCATTCGAATTTCTAAAATCTGCATAACTTTTGTTTTAATGTTTCTACTTGAATATTTAATAAAAAAAACAAATAATTATGCTGGAAAAAAAGCATGTCATACTTGATACAAAATTATTCTAGTTTCAACATATACATATAGTTAATAGTGCAGAAAAGCTACCACACATTCTATAAAACTAAACTAGAATTTTTTCGTTTTTAGCACTATACAGGGTACGCCACGCTCAATGGGACTCAGCCTGGTGGGTAATCTACAAACGATATTAAAAATTCTTTTGGCACAAATATAAAACTTCTTGGCGTCTACAATTAAAAATTAATTTCATTCATGTATACAGGATGAAATATATTGATCCATTCAAATTATTGATAATAGGTTTAAAAATAATAAATATGGGCATAGGGAACCTTACAGAATTTTTAAAGTAAATAAAATTTCTTTCATATTGGTACCATAAATTAACGCATTTTACTGTAATAAACCTCAAATTTCAAATACCAAGTACATTTTTTTAATATGTTAATGATTATGATAAAAAGTTACAATATTTTGTAAGGAATTGCCAAAAATTCGTTAATTATTTATTTTGTAATCAAGAGTAATCAATTAATTTCGAACATTACATTTTAAAAAATATCAAATAGATCAGCAATTGTCAAAGTATAAGGAACTGAATTTAAAATTTAAAAATTATAACTTTCTATTGGTATTATGGGGCTAACTTTTTTTTAATAATTGTTACCACCCCTTTTTTATATCTGACACGGTGTATTAATATCAGTATGTTACATACCTATTTTCGAGCACAATGGCCTAGAATTCAAAATGGTGGATAAAAACATTAAAACGATTACTTAAAGTACTTTAAGAATTTAAAATGTTAACGGCAAGACAGTGGCCCGAGCAGTGGCCTAAACGATTTTAGAATTCTCGATTTATTTTTAAAGCCTTGAACATTGTGAATTTCGACAATTATTCTCTCTTTGAGAACCTGAAGATTGTCCGGCCGATTTTTGTACACCACTGACTTCAAATGAGTCCATAAAAATACCCAGCGGTGTTAGGTCAGGAGACCTAGCAAACCCCTCTATGGGCCATTGTCTACAAATTTACCTGTTCGGAAATAACTGGGATAGGTATCTCCTAACTAGCAAACCAAAATGTGGTATCGTCTACTTCATTATTTTCCCCCAACGAAGAAAAACTACTATAGTCTATTTTTATGTATGAGAGAGTAATAAAACAGCATTTCTAATGCAAAACTTAGTACGGTCATTTTAAATATTTTTACAGAATAAACTAAATATTTCCTAAAATTTTAATAAATGTACCTGAGCTATTACAAGTTTTGGGTCTTTTATTGGTCCTTTATAAACATAAGCTGTACAGAACAATAGAAAAATGTTTGGACAGGCCAAAAGCCCTGTGTATTAAAGATTACATAGCCGTATCTTAAGATTATTTTCAATAAGTACCTATTTGCCAATTTTGTTTTATTTTAATTCCAAGAATTTCTTACAGTAATCGAATTATAAGTAGATAAATACCTTCCCAACAAATTTCACCGAAAATGCGATTATAGGTTTTCCATTTAGTAAGGAGGTCCAAGTTGTATATTCTTGACAGTTTACTAAATGTCGTTAAGTTACAACTTGCAAGGTGCAGTGTAAATTCTAGTGTGATTATGGAAAATTTGGAAGGGCCGCGTAAACGACAAAAAATCGGTCCTTTAACAGTTAATGAAAAAACATTAATATTTAATTGTTTTAAATCATTTACAGACAAACATTTATGTAAAAGTGTTGATGACACAGTGGAATTAGTTAGTAGTACGCTTGGTGTTGGGAAATCTACGATTTACAGAGTTGTTAAAGAAGAGAAATGTGGCGAGTTTCAAACAGCACGTAAAGCTCCAGGAAAACCAAAATTTCAATTACAAAATCTTTTGAAAGAAAGACTCCAAAGGAAAGTGTATGCGTTCTTCTTTAAAAAAGAATTTCCGACAGTAGACAAAGTTCTTGCCACGGTTCGAGATGATAAGAATTACCCTGAAATGAGTCGAAGCACACTATGGAAACTTTTAAAAGAAATAGGTTTTCTATGGAAAAAGCATTCCAGAAAGTCTATTTTAATAGAAAGAAGCGATATTGTAGTATGGAGAAGAAATTACCTAAGGACTATAAAAGAAATGAGAAACCAAAGAAGAAATATATTTTATTTAGATGAAACATGGAAGACAGGCTTTTTTAAATAATTTATCTACTGGTTTAAATCCACCATCAAGAAAGGGGCGCAGACTAATAATAGTACACGTCGATAGTTCAAACGGTTTTGTTAAAGGTGGTTTATTGACTTTTGAATCTACTCGTACCGGTGACTACCATTAGGACATGAATGCTGATGTCTTTAAAGAGTGGTTCGAACAAATTATAGATCTTCTTCCTCAGAACTGTATAATAGTAATGGATAATGCAAGTTATCACTCGAGATTTATAAAAAAAATGCCCACAACCAAGTGGTTAAAAAAATATTTACAGAATTGGCTAAATTCAAAGAATATTAAGTTCCATCCCGGTTCTGTGAGAAAAGAACTGAATCATTTGTGTTCCCTTCATAAAGAGAAATTCAAAAAATATGAAATTGATGAAATTGCAAAAAATCGTGGGATGACGGTGGTTAGATCACCACCATATAATTGCGAAGTAAACCCGATTGAACTGATATGGGCACAGATAAAGGGAGAAGTTTCAAGAAAAAATAATTCTTTTAAAATGAGTGATGTTAAACAGTTGTTTTTGGAGGCTGTAAATAATGTGAAGCCTGAAAACTGGGAAAAGGCAGTAAATCATACGATTAAAGAAGAAGAGAAAATGTGGAAGTTGGACAATATTACTGATGAAATGATCGAGCCACTCACTGTAAATATTGGTTGCGACAGTTCATCTTCTGATTTCGATTCTGATTTGGATTTGTAGGTAAGAAGTAGTTTTTATATTAAAATTATTATTTATGAACGTAACGTTGTTTAAAAGCCAAAGTTTAAACCCTTATACCTATATAACCCCTTTGACACAATGTTAACATACCTTGTGGAAAAATAAAACATTTTAGAAAAAATTGCACTTTTTTACCTTCAGCTGTTTAGAAGTTATAAGCAGGTTAATTAGGTGAAAATATAAGTGTATACTCGAGGAATAACTTCAAAAAATATTTTAACTGTCTACTAAAAGAAGTGGATTACGAATGCTTTATTATTTTAATACTCTCTCATACATAAAAATAGACTATAGACTAATCCATTCATTCATAAATAAAAGCCCCTATTTAGTGCAGTCATTATGTATTGCCGCGTATCTGGAAAGCAAGCCTCTGATACAATCGTGTGCAAACAAAAAAAGAACAATGAAACCGGAAGTGTGAAAAATTGGGCTAAAAGCGGTCGACTAAAATCTGCAACTGGTGAAGATATTGGCCTTGAATGTGCTTCTGCAAATCCAGGAAGTAACTACAGTTTCTTGGCGGGGAGGGTGCATTTGATGTAAGAATTAAGTGAGAACGATTTTAATCATAGGACCAGATTTTGTGAAATTTTGTTAAAACGTTGTAATCTGGATCCAAATTTCTCAAGAAAAAATGTATTTTCGGATAAAGCCACATTCATGCTGAACGTTTTTGTCACAATGACATGTTTAGTCATTCAGACTGTGTTTTATATTACGTAGACTGAGCTGTCGCATCGGTTGCCGCATTAGAGACAGCGAGACGGCTGCTAATTTAAGTGGGGATAGTTTGTGCGAGCATGCAGGAGCGGGCATGCGGTTTATGAACGAATCAGTACTTAAAACGACACTTGATTTACACTGTTGTCACACTAAATTGAGAATAAATGGCATTAAGAATGCACATATACTTTTTTAATGTAATTTTGAAAGCCTTTTGTGCATTTTAGAGCCTCAGGTTAAGTCAATACTGAATTATAACCTTAAACAACCCTTGTAACAAGACTCTCTCATAGTAATTTGACAACTACGGGGATAACACTGAGAGTATTTGTGTTTAAATTTCACAAGATAACATTTCACAAACCTCCACTGTTCAATCAATTTGTGTTAAATCCACACATTTAAAAAATGCATATTATCTTTCCTATATATAATAATCTCATCTCGTACTATCTATGCATTCAAGATTATCTATTCTACAAATAACAATCTCATCCAACCCCAAGATATAGTATAAGCCAAATATATTTGATGCAAAACCCTGATAATCATCACGTACGTAAAACAACCAAACAACATTTCGTTATATATTCTATCTCAGATTTCTCTCTTTCCCACTTAATGGAACTAACAATTCTAGAAAAATTTCACGTGTTGATGCAATGTTCGCCAGTTGGACGCGCCCTCCTTACACAAGGACGACAAACAAGAGCAAATCGCAACTCTCGTCACTTCAGTTTGAAACGTTCAACATAGATAGAGCCTATAAACAATATCTTGAAAAAGCTGAATCAGAAATATCGAGAACTAGAGTGTCAAATATGAACCTAAACTAGAAGAAGGTACATTTTTCTGATCAGGCTACAGAATAGCCATATCTGAAATCTATTGACATCCTTAAAACGTAACAACT